CTTTACCCTGCTCTGGCTCCAGGCAGCTGGTTTGTCTGGACCTGCAAATGGGTTTTCTTGCCTCCTGGCTTCTGGTTGAGTTCAGTTCGTGTGCAACTTTCTGTCAGCCCGTAGAAGAAAGGAAGGAGGGAGAAGGTAGGATATTTACTTTCTTAACTTCTGCCCTGTGGGGTTTCTACAGCCTGGCCACATTCTTCCGTTGAAGGTCATGGCTCTCATCAAGGAGCTCTCCTTGTTTTAAAGTTCTGCTGACTTCTTTCTCCCCTCCTCCTTCATTGCCATTGGGTGGTGTTAGGCCCTGCTGTAACTAACTCTGGGATCCTGTACTCTCACTTGTGATTTCATTACTGCCTACCTATGCTTTATAAACAGTCACATCATTAAACTTTGCTCAAACCAACCAAATTGAGTGTGCTGTCTGTTTCCTATGGCAACCCTGACAGATAAGTAAGCTTTTAAATATTTTAGGTTCTGTAAGTGGCTATTATGATTGCAAATCTAAAGTGGATTAGCACTAGAATAAGGAAAAAAAATTATTTTGACAATTTCATGAATTTATTCTGTTGGCTGATATATGATTTTATTTTTAATTCCTCTAAGATTTGGTTTTGAGTATTATCACTCTGTTTATTGAACACTTAATATGGCACAACTCATTGTTTTAAGCATTGTGGGGAATTCAGGAGTAAATGAAACACATGCTCAGTAATTTTAGTATGAGGCAGTTTGTAACGAGTTTCATGTGAGAGGTACGAAGTGCTATATAGAGTTCAGAGGAGGGAGATTATTCCGTCAAAGACCACTTTGATTCTGTCCGCAGCAAGAATGAAGGGAGACCCACAGTTTCCTGTGTTCCTGGTGAGACCTCCACTTCCCAGTCCTTGCTTACCATCACCACCACTGCAAACCACTTAAGAGAGTAGGCCCAAAAGTAATAACTAATACTATTTAAAGTTTGACATACGTGCCACTTATGAGAGCAAAACGTATAGTAATTCATTTAACCCTTTCAGCATTCCTGTGAAGCAGGTTCTGTTATTAAACAGAGTTGGAATTCACACTTAGGCAGTCTGGTTCCCTAGTCCAGGCTCCTTACTACCACAACCACCGCCTTAGTCTGCAATTATCCACCTGCCCCAAAGAGATTATCAAAACTAATTCCATCATGTGCGCAGCCCTTTCCAGTGATGGCTTCTAGGTATCATTCTTGCTCCTTGTGATGTTTCTAGTCCCCCAGCACCATGCTCCTCATGTCAGTAGACTTTTATCACCTGCTGTGTGTTCTTGTTGCAGTCATACCAGCCAGCCCCCCTCATTTGTTATAGATTTAGCCCCTTACATGTTTTTTCCCCACTAGTGTTAATTATTTCTGCCAATCCCAGTATCCATGTAGGTAATCCACATGATTATCATAATAATAGATAATTTGGCTTCTTGAATTCCTTGACCTCTTATCTCCAATGATCCTTCATCCTATTTTAGACTTTTTATTTATCCATTACTGTATCACCTCTCAGGTTTTAAGTTCAAGCTTCCTCTTCTCCGACCACCACTGCTTCTCTCTTCCTAGCTCATTCCCTCTAATTTCTAACTAACAATTTTGGGACAACCATTAGACCCTGCAGTCCACTGACACTAAACTTCTTTGTTGTCCATATCCTCATTGTGTCTTCGTTTTTCTTAGCATTGCTTAGATTTCATGGACTATTGTTATAACCACTCCCTTTTAACTCCTGTGCTGTTTTACCTGACTAAAGCCAATACTCTGCCTACTTTGTACCTAGTAGCCAGATGAGGCTGGAGGAAAACACGCAACTATTCTCACTAGTTTCACTTTAAATACTCATGACTACAAGGCCTCATTGCTGCCTGCAGTCTTAGTCAGTTCACTCTCCCACTCTCCTTCAATTTTGAAAAACCTTCCCTTTTCAGTTGATGGTGTTTATTATTTTACTTTACAAAAAATTAAACTCAAGCAGAAAAGAGAACTTTATACTTTCCTGTAAGCAAATCTACAAACCTGAAAGAGTAATTTTAGTAGAATGGTGGGAGCACGAAGCCAGCTTTTAAGGGACTAAAATGTGAATGGGTCATAAGGAGATAAAGAGACTGTGACATTTTCCCAGATTTGTCCCTGGAACATTGTCTCTCTTAAATGAATCTTGCCCAATAACAGGTTAGTGGCTAAGTAAAATGGAGAAATGCTGAAAACTATGTAGTATATATATGGAAAGGAAGTTTCCATCTCCTGGCCTAGATTTTACTAAAGCTTTGGTTTTCAAACTTTGGCCTATTTTACAGTCACCTAGAGGGCTTGCTAAAGCATGGATTGCTGGGCGCCACTTCCAGAGGTTCTGATTTCATAGGGTTGGGTGGCTTCTGAAAATTTACATTTACAAGTTCTTAGGTAACACTGATGCTGCTTGTCCGGGGAATTGGGGAATCCCACTTCGAGAGCCGCCACTTCACTTGAGTAAGAATTCAGCTTCTGAGAGTGGCAGGTATGGTTAAGATTTTGAGCAACATAGAAAATAGCTATTGTTGGGTAACATAGAAGTAAGATCTCTGTGATCTGTCTTCAACCCATCTCCTTCTTATTATTTATTTGTATGTTTATTATTTATTATTCATTAATTGTTTTTAGTTTAAAACATTGTACATGGTAGTTAATAGGGATTTTGAAATACAAAGACTAAATGTCGTAAAGTGTCCTGAACTAATTCTGTCAGTTGTAATTAATAATCTTTTGGCTTTGGCAAATGACTACCATGTGTCTTGTTTTCTTGTTTGGGAATTTTTAAAATAGAAGAATTAGAAATTTCCAATCCTTCCTTTATAAATGTAATTGTAAAGCCACAGAATCTTTTAAAATTACGTTTTGGGAGAATCATTAGTCAGGTTTCTGCCTAAGGAGAGTCCCATGTGGTTCTTTTTGAGTAGCTAAGTATTCCTTGGAGAATCTGGGCCTCTCCAGGATTTACAGTATTTCTGGCAGTAAGTTGCATTACCATTCTGGTGTCTGCCCTTCTTGAGCTTTGCTACTGAATATTTTTATAACGAGATTGCATCTTAGCCTATGCCTCACGTATGTCAGCTGTTACTGCTTTAATGACTATAGTATCTGTACTGAGCCCGGAGTGGGAGGGAATCATAAGAAATGTTGTTTTGAAACATGCTTGGGGTACATGATAGGAACGGAAAAAGTTGAGTACTGTTTCCTATCCTTCCTTTTATTTCTCCCTTACCCACATTGTGAGCAGGTAAGATTGACAAGGATGCTTCTTTTCCTTCTCTGGTTTCTCACATCTTTGTCAGGCTTTTTGAAGCTAGATACTATGTTCTTTTCACAGTTTCATAATTGGTTATTCTTTAATATAATTTTGGAAACCTGTGGACTTGTTTTTTATAGCTTCACTTGGGAATAATTAATTACAATAACTTGTGCATATTTAAAGTATACAGTTTGATGAGTTTTGACATACATGAAACCATCACTGTAATAGCAAGATAACACACATTTTCATCATCTCTGAGAGTTTTCTTGTGCCCCTTTGTAATGCGTTCACTGATTGCTTTCTGTCACTATAGACAAGTTACATTTTCTAAAATTTTAAAGGAATGGAATCATACAGTATATACTTTTGCTGGGGGCAGGGGGTCCTGACTTCTCTCAGTCAGCATAATTATCTTGAGGTTTATTCATGTAGTTACTTACGTTAATAGTTTGTTCCTTTTTATTGCCAAGAAGTATCCTTGGATATTCCAGAATTTACCCATTTACTTGTTGATGGATATCGGAGTTGTTTCCAGTTTGGAGTTATTATTAATAAAGCTGCTTTGAACATTTGTATACAAATCTGAGTATGGACATATGCTTTTATTTTTCTTGGGTAAATACTTAGAAGTGGGATGGCTGGGTCATATGGTTAAGTGTGTGTTTAACTTTTAGGAAACTGCTGACTGTCTTCCAAACTGTTTATACCATTTTACATTCTTGAGAGTTCCAATTGTTCCACCTTCTCACCAGCATATGATATGGACAGTCTTACTTTGTTTCAGCCGTTCCAGTGATGTCGGTGGGTAGCTATGTAGTGGGGATCTCAGTGTTGTTTTAATTTGCATTTACATGACTATGGTGTTGGGCTGCTTATTTGCCATCTGCATATCTTCTTTCGTGCAGTTGAGTTTTTTTGGTCTTTTTTATAATTGAGTTTTAGGAATTTTTTGTATATTCTGGATTCAGATTCTTTCAAATTCTTAGACATTTTGCTAATAGTTTTTATCAGTTGGTAGCATGCCTTTTCATTTTTCTTTTGTTTTTTGAAGAGCAACAGTTTTTAATTTTGATGAATTTATCAATTTTTCTTTATGGTTTTATTTAAGCTCTTTGTTTCTTATTTGAATTCTGCATCATTTCATTTCTTTGATTTATCTAAAAAGTTAAATCAGATTCTCATTTTTAGCAATTAGGAAAAAAATCATCGGAGGCAACTATAAAGCTAGCGTTGCATCTGCCTTGTATTTTTGTTATTGTTATTATACTTTAGTAACAAATTGTTTATGATTCCAGTACTTTTTGTTTGTTCTTTCTGGTTGATTTTTAAACCTGTTAAGGATGTGTGAAATTGCTCCTGGTCTAGTCTGTTTTATGGGGTGAGGGAACTGAGGTTCATGAAGGTTACATGGCTTTGCTGATGGCTTACAGTTTATGATCATTCCAAGAGCAAAAAAAGCCCAGGTTCTCTCAAATCCTGTTTCACTATTTGTTTCCCTGTGAGGTGCTGTTCTTTATGATGCTGTTGCCATTCCATTTTAATGTTACCTATTAAAATACATTTAGTTCATTTGTTGCTGCTTCATTTCTCATTATGATAAATATTCTCATTTAAAACAGTCTTAAAATTAAATGGGATAGTTTTCTGAAAGAATCATAATTTTCCCTTAAAATTTCATTGAGGATGTTGATTTTAACACTTTTTTTTTTTTAATTCTTTCCAAAGGTCTGTAAACAGATTTGGCTAGGATTATTTGATGATAGATCTTCAGCAATTCCAGACTTCAGGGATCCACAAAAAGTGAAAGAGTTCCTCCAAGAAAAATATGAAAAGAAAAGATGGTGAGTGAATAGTTCATATTGAGAACAAAGGCTTCCTAAATCACAATAATTATGGGTAAGATTAGTCTGATAGAACGAAGGAGAGAGGTAGGTAGGTAAGTAGGTAAGAAATGAGGGAATAGGTAGGTAGATAAATACCCATTATACTTTGGCTTTTTATTGGATTTTGTTTCTTTTTTTTTTTTTTTTAAAGGAAGATTAGCCCTGAGCTAACTGCTGCCAATCCTCCTCTTTTTGCTGAGGAGGACTGACCCTGAGCTAACATCCATGCCCATCTTCCTCTACTTTATACGTGGGGCGCCTGCCACAGCATGGCGTGCCAGGCGGTGCCATGTCTGCACCCGGGATCTGAACCGGTGAACCTTGGGCCGCTGAAGCAGAACGTGTGCACTTAACCGCTGCGCCACCAGGCCGGCCCGTTGGATTTTGTTTCTAAAAACATTATTTCTACTTTATCTTAACTCATCTGTGTCTAGCAGCAGCCTGTTCCTTATAATTACAGGCCTCCTACCCCTTTTTGGAAAGTTAGGGATCTGTCGTTCTAATCCTTCTCTAGTCCTGTTACCTTCTCTAGACATTTTTAGTTTATAAAGCCTCCTTTTTTAAAGTCTTCATTCATTTATCAAGTATTTATTTAGTATCTTCTATGTAGTAGGCACTATGCTAAAGCTCTTGTGTAGTAATCCATTTACTTAATTGTGTCTTGCAATAAGTCTTTGCTCAAAACATCCCTTGCTTCCGTTTTACTACCTTGTTAAGAAGGGAGCATCTGTCTATACTCCCTAACTCAATTCATCAGATGTTAATGTTTAAAAAGAAATTAAAACAGGTTGGACATATGGCTAGTAAGCCATTTAAAACAGAGCAGGGAGTATATCCTTACAGCCAGTGTTCAGATACTTTGCGCTCTCCATTTTTAGTTCTGTGAGCACAATTTAAGCCAATTTACTAAGGCTCATTAACAATGAACTCTTACTTGTCAGTATTCAATAGCGTATATGTCTTTGGGGGGTTAAGAAGGTGAGGGAGGGAGTCACAATTAGATGGAATAATAATGAGGAAGTAAATGGCCTCTTGTTTCCTGAGGAGCTGTATTTTAACCCAGAGAGTGATATATTCAAGAGCCTGTTTTGGTCCTGAGGGAATATGTGCTGTGGTTTATGGGTGAGATAGTTCTCCCTTCAGTCACTGAGCACATTGGAAAGACGTAGCTCTGATTTTTATGCTCTGCGAACTTTGCATTCTAATTGTTCTCTAGAGGAGACTACTTTTTGCAAGGCAGGATTAGCTAGGGCTATATTCAGTGGCATTAGATACATTAAGTACGAATATAGATAAAAATGTACCAGTAAAATTTTAGTTCAGGAAAGAATAAAATCTTAGAAGGTGGGGTGATAGTAAAAACATGGTGTGATATAAATGGTTCCCTTAAAATGAAGTGTATACATTATCCTTTTATCATTTCAGTTCTTAATTTCCTAGACCTTCCACACTGTAGTTAAGGGCGTTCTTTTTGCATATCCCTAGCTTAATTTTTGATTTTCCCGACAGTTTCTTTTACCAGCTCAGAGTGTTAGTTTGGATAATAAACCTTAGCTGAGATTGAGATAGTTTAGCTTCAGTTAGCAAGAGAAAAAAGTGTGTGAGAATAAGAGTTGATAGAATTAAAACTATGGATTCTGCCTGCATTTAGAATAATAATAATAAACAATAATAAAAATTATTCAGACCATAACCCAAGTAACTGTAAACCTCAAATAATTATAATTCATGCTGTTTTTTTTCTGTTCTGAGAAACAGGATTGTAATAACAAGAGTAATAAAAATACAGACTTTAATTAGTGGGTGGGCAGAGAGAATGACCAACACTCAGGAGGCCAGGACCTGTCTATTTTAAACCTATCTTTTTTGTATACCTGTGACTTGTAACGAGAGAGTAATGCAGTGGGTTTTAACGTGACACAGGCACTATCCAAATGCAGTCTCCCCAAAAATCCTCACTGAAGGCAACTACACTTAAAACAGTGAGGCTGTTGTCATCCAAAGGGATTCTGAAATTGTTCTTTCAACCAATTTTCAAACTCACTTCCTATGTTATATAAGCTTAGCTTACTTTTAGTCAGATGAGTCTTTTGAACCAAGTACTATTATCTGGTTTTATCCTTTGCTAAGACTTGGCTGTACTCAAGCATTGGTATCATCAGTGACATGTCAAATTATGGGAAGGCTTAACTTCCTGTGTTCCTTCACGCATCTCATCCTCTCTCCCATTTATTGGAAAAAACAAAGCAGTTTTATTGTTTGTGGTTATTGTATAATTTGATAATAGCTAACACTTATGTAGCTAGCATCTGTACCAGGAACTCTCCTAAGTGCTTTACAAATGTTAACTTGTTTAGCCTTCACAGCACCCGTACCTCGATTTTATAGGTGAGAAATAGGAGGCACAAAGAGTTGAAGTAGTTTGCCCTAGGTTTCATGGCTTTGAGTGGTGGAGCTGGCGTTTGAACTCTGTCTCTGGAACAGACGGGTGCTTTTAACCGCTCTCTTTTCTTACTTCCTCCACCTGCTTGATATGGATGGTGGGGAAGAGGGCAGGGTAGGACAAAACCCAGAAATACAGAGAGCTAGAGCTCTTACGTAATCCCAGCACTAGAAATGAGCAGTGCCAGTATTTGGGTATTATATTCTTACTGCCTTTCTTTCCTTCCTTTACGCCCTTCCTTCCATGAATCCTGTATTTACATAACTGAGATCAAACCTGAAAGACCTGTAAAGTATTATGGCCATCTTTCCATGTCGAAACGGAGTAGCCGTTTAGTCTTATACAAGTTTAAGCAGTGTTGTGGTAACATACATCTACATGTATCTTATCCGGTTAATTCCTAAGGGTGAGCTTCTGGAAGGGGTATTTCTGGGGCACAGAGTGTACCTATTTAAGTATTTTAATAGATAGTAACAAAATTTGTAAAATTTATACTCAGATCAAATGCAAATGATGTTTTAATTTGCATTTTTATTAGGTTACGAGTGTTTTCATTTTATGTCTCCCTTTGTGAATTGCTTCTGTCCATTTAAACATTAGGTTGTTGATCTTATTCTTCCAGATTTGTAACAAGCCCTTATATTTTAGGCTATTAACTGTAATATAATAAATATTTTCCCTTCCTTCTGCTCTGTTTCCAAATGATATTTATGATCTTATTATACTTTAGGTTTTAAAAATTAATAAGTACAGTGTTAGGTATTCACCATGATGATTAATTGTAGGTGCTGTTGTTTTTAAAATAAGTTATTTATTATACTGTATTTATTGTTTGAGAAAAACTGTAAGTAAATAATTGTAAGAAGTTTTGTTGGTTTTTATTGCCCTTTCTCTTTGAATACTTCAAGTAAGTGTAGTCTTAAGCTATGAATTCTAAGAGGGTTTTGAAATAAGATTAATGTCAAAACGGTCTTGTACAAAATTAGAATTGAGCTTAACATTTTTGAGTGTAATATTCCCTCCATTTTTCTTAGTTAACTGCCTGTTCAACTTTGCCTGTGTTTTAGGTATGTTCCACCAGAACAAGCCAAAGTGGTGGCATCAGTTCATGCATCTATTTCAGGGTCCTCGGCCAGTAGCACAAGCAGCACACCTGAAGTCAAACCACTGAAATCTCTTTTAGGAGATTCAGCACCAGCACTGCACTTAAATAAGGGCACACCTAGTCAGGTGAGTAGTCTTTAAGTGTTTGTAGGGATTTCTACTTAAGGAGGATTGAGTATCATGAATTTGAGAATTCCTTAAGACAGTAGCGTAACCCTGTATACTAGTAGCATTATGTCCTAATGATTAATAATACACTGAAAGATTTTTGGTTAATAATACAGTAAGAGTTTTGTATATTTTTGCTGTTTTGCTCTTGCTACTGTGAGTTTCTTTGAGTTCTCCACAGCTTTGAAATATATGCAGGAACATTGCTGTAGCTGTCTGTCATGTAACACAATTAGTAAAACATGAATCTGTGGTCACCATCAGAGTTAGAACAGTGTAGCCTCTGTGATGTATTTTCACAGAAAAGGATTTCTCAAGCAGCAGAACTTCCCCCCATGCCTGATTGTGAAGCATGTCTATCTTGGAAAAGCAGGTGGCTTTGCATTATGTACCTTATTCTAAAAAACTGAATAGACTGAAGTCTTTCCATAAGTTGGTACCTGGAATTTGTACTTCTGCATTTATTACAGTTTACTGAGCTGTGACAAATCTGTTACTATGTGGCATTCCAAGGTCTATTCTACACAACACTGGTTCTGAGGCATGGTACTATTTGAATTAAATCCCACTTCTTTAATAATGCACACTGGGGCATCTGGATAAATTGCTCCATTTTCATAACAAGTTTGAACAATGCAGAGAAGGGTTAAGTCAGGATATTGAAACTCTTCCTACGAATCAAGGATGTTCTCTGAAAGCCTTATCTCACTTCTTAGCAGTAAGTCCCTCTTGTGTCATGAGGTATATCAGCTGTTGTAATTACATTTCTTTGCTTTTGATTCTCTACTTAAAATTGAGAGGTAGTTTAGGAATAGATGTTGAAAATTTGTGCTTTTCAAAGAATACAGTACTCAAAACTACAGATATATAATAATAATAATAATCTTATAAACTGTGCTTTAAGCTTGGTGAATTGGAAATAGTGTTATCAAAATTTAGTAGATCTGACTGGAAACTCTTTATGGTTAATATGTGGTTTATAGTCCCCTGTTGTAGGTCGCTCTCAAGGGCAGCAGCAGGAAAAGAAGCAGTTTGACCTTTTAAGTGATCTTGGCTCAGATATATTTGCTGCTCCAGCTCCTCAGTCAACAGCTACAGCCAATTTTGCTAACTTTGCACATTTCAACAGTCATGCAGGTAAGTGTTTTTCCTGAGAGCTTTTGCCAGAGATGTGTATAAAGCACCAAGAAACATCCATTCTGTTTTAAACCTAATATCAGTAAACATTCTGTTGAGAATATTTGGTCCCCCATAGCTATTGAGGTGTGATGTAATCATGTAACCCTGGGGCTTTTTCATCGCAAAAGAGATTATACTTAATGTCAGATGTTAACATGACCTCTTTCTACAGAAAAATGGGAAAAGACTTTTCAGTTATTTTTTTACACTTTTATTATGGAAAATTGCAAATATTCAAAAGTGATCAGATAATGTAACCTTCGTGTAGTCACTCATGGCTAATCTGGTTTTGTTTATCATTCTGCTCATTTCCTCCTCATATTGTTTTGAAACAGATTTTAGACATGTTACTTTATTTTTAAATATTTTATATGTATCTATAAAACAGAAGGACTTTTTTGTTAAACATAACCATAGTAGTATTACCACTCCCTAAATAATAGTAATAATAATTCCTTAGTCAGTGTTCAGATTTCCACTCCAGTTCTCACACATACACACACACACACAGTCTGGATCTATTAATGCAAAATGGGGATATTCCAAATTTATCGTTCCTTCATTTATCAGCTGAAAAACTTCTTTACAAAACATTGGTTATCCAGTGGTATAATTAGTATAGCAAAGTCAATATATAATTGATTCTGATCAGTCAGATACCGGAATGAGTTGATTCCTTAGCATTTTTTAACGGTGACCTCTTTTTTCTTCAGTATCATTATGAATTCATAGATTTAAACCTTTGATGCATCTCAACTTTGTTGTCATTATTATCTTCCTTTGTCCCATCTTTGGGCTGGGAATATCTTCCAATTGGCTCCTGAGGCTGTAACTCCCTTTTTTATTCCCAGATTTAACATGTTTGTTATGAAGATTTTAACACACTTCACCAAAAGTTAGAAATTATGGAGTTTTATTTTGTTAACGAATATGCAAATATTGCAGTTACCTAGGTACCATTTAAAAATTGATTATTGAAATAGAGATGGATTCATTTGTATCTCTCTGTTATTGTAACAGTAACAGCAAATGGGCTTTGGAGTCAGAATGTCCTGAGTTCAGATGTTGATCTTGTCCCTTATTGTCTGTATAACCTTGGGCAAGTTACTTAACATTTTGTATTCTGTAAATTGGCTTTGATAACTTCCTAACTGGTGAGGAATTTAAGGGGTTTAGCATATAGAAGCTACAATAAATATTGTTTTTCCTTCTGTCTCTCTCACATACACAACACATACCACATATATGTTGTTCGTATATATACACACATATATATATACGCACACAAGTATGTATACCTATATGCATTTAACACATAGGATCGTACTCCATATAGAGTTTTTATCCTGTGTAACCTTTGGATCTTTACTGAGGTTCCCCAAATGGTTTAGAGTCGTTTCCTAACAGCTTGTTAATGTTTTGAGTCTTCACAGTTGTTTCTTTATGCTTCTTTCTACTTTTTTAGAAGGTATGATGTAAATAGTCTAAAAACATCAGTTGTATTTGTATTAGAGATATGTGTGGAATCTATTTTGGATGCCAGTAAGCTTTGCTGTGTGTGTCATAGAAAGTTTACCCATCTGCATTTGTGAGTGGTTGAATTAGCATCAAACCAAATGCAGAACACTAATTTAAGAATTGATTTAATCATTTTGTGGCAGTTTTATTTGATAATTTGAAACCTTGCTTTATATTTTTGCATGTTTGTATAAGGATATTGGCTAAAGCTTATTATTTCGTTGTCACTGATTTCCATAACTTTAATTATAATCAAGAAAAATTCAAGACTATCTTTCTAAAATGTGTATTTCACTATTTTCAGAGCACAGCAGAAACCACTGCTTACAGAATTAGATTCCCTATTTGTATTTTAGAACTGATTTTTTGTTTTTTTATTTGTTATTTTTTTTTTTAAAGATTGGCAATCTTCTTTTTTTTCCTTCTTCTCCCCAAAGCTCCCCAGTACATAGTTGTATATTCTAGTTGTAGGTCCTTTTGGTTGTGCCGTGTGGGACACTGCCTCAGCATGGCCTGACGAGCGGTGGCATGTCTGGTGAAACCCTGGGCTACTGAAGCAGAGTGCACAAACTTAATCACTTGGCCACAGGGCCAGCCCCTGATTTTATGTTCTTTTACTCACCTCTGAGATTGTGATACCTTTTTTCCTTTCCTTTCCTTTCAATTTGACAATCTGGCTTGTAGTTGGATAGTAACTTGTAGTTGGATAGTAATGGTATAGAATATATCATTCATATATGGACACCCCAAAATGTGCCATTTGAGATAGTTTGAAAAATTGTAGAAAAACTGCTCTTCAGCCTCATTTCTTTCTAGCAAGTATTAAAGGAACTTTTTTGTTTCAAATGTTAATAAAAGCATTTTCTGAGGACATGCTACAGAAGGAAATTATAATGTAATTTAATGTATATTTGTGTGCATCTGTGTTTGCTTTAAAAAGGGATCCTAGGATGAAGAGGATCTCTTTTTCAGGAGAGATTATACTGAGAAGAGTAGAAGTCAGGAAGCTTGGTTGTTGGGGCTGTGGTAGGTTTCCCTTCTCCTACATTAGCTGAGCAGCAAAAGCCCAGAAAATGTGGAGAGCCTCTTTTCCCTTCACCCTCCAGGTGGGAAGCCAGTTCCCCCTCTGACCAGACAGGAGCCCCAGCTCTCTGTTCCCACCCTTGCTTTTGAATGCAGGCAAAAAGAGTTGGTAGAAGAATCAATGAATATAGAGTTAGCCTTCTGGATTTTATGAATATTCTGGATTTATCTCAATTTTAGGTTTATTGAAATACAATTTAAAATGACTGACTACCAAACTTTTTTGTAAATTTTCCATTTATTTCATGTTTCCCGTGTGTTTTTGTTTTTAGTGCAATTTGTGAGTATTCACTGATCAGGGAATTAATGTTAAACTTTTCTGTGTAGCCGTGTCACTGCAGGTCTGCAGACTGATGTAATTCATACCATGGTTGCACTCAGGCTTTTGAAAAACAGCTCCCTGAAAATCTTCTTTGAAAATAATAGCCATCGTTTAATAGTAGAAAATTATAAAGAAAAATAAATGAAACCTATGATTTTATCAGATTGATAGGAGATAGAAGATCTTAACTATTTTGTCTCCTTTTTACGTATAGTGGAAATGGTAAGATAGATGACTCTATGAGGAAATAGGTTAATAACTATGTAGATTAGGTCAGGTTGCCTAAGGGTAGTAGTTTTTTAGCCTGAAATTCTTATTTACAAATGACTACTCAAACCGCCTTTTTAAAACTTCATTTGATTGCAGGAGAATAAAATATATATGCATATTGCAAGAAGAAGCTAATAAAATTACTCATTTAATTTCCCTTCTAGTATAGTTGATGTCATCTTTTACATTTTACTTTGCAGTAGATTTTAGGTGTAAATCAGTGTCATGGTTCAATCTGAAATGTTTTTTTCCAGAGCCTTTGCAAGCACTCTGAATCTTTATTTTTCCATATATGGTTCACAGATAGAAGTTATTGATAGCTGAGTTCTCGCTCTGAAATTCTTTTTTTTTTTAGTAGTAGGTGAAAATTTTCGCCTGAGCAGATTGATGTGACAAATGGGAGCTTTAATAGCAAATGATAATTATTCAGATATGCCAGTCTGGTTAGCATTGTTTTGTAGGGAAACCTGTTCTTTTGCAGATAGTTTAATAGCTTAAAAGCCGGAAGTCTTTACCTTTCATCTGAACATTCTGGCTAAGATGGTGTATGTGGTTGTCTGTCAGCGGTGGGATCATTGTGTTCAGGAAAAGTCATCTACAGAAATATACATGCAGTTAAAAACATAATTTACCTACAGAATGTAGTAGTCATTCTGCCTGGTAATAAACATATCACCAAACCTATGAACTGTAAACTGCAGGTGATTTTTGTCCCACCTTATACTAGGGATGTCAAATTCAGTTGGCTTGCCACCCGGTTAACCCAAGTGAGTGATATTTGGAAGTGTGGAAGGAATTGTGGGGATGTTAAAATCTCCTGTTGCCACATGGAAATATAGATTTAGCATTACTAGTTATATTGATTTTCTTTTAAGAAAAGCAAGAAATCTTGTTTAATGTGAAATGTTGTCTTTTTAAACTTTGGGAATTGACAAAAAAATTTAAAATATTGTATAGGTGAAATAAAGTGTATTTGTCAGCTGAATTTGATAAGGGATGTTAGTTTCCATCCTCTGGTCTCTACATTTATCTTTGAGTACTTGTTTCTCATGGAGGAGGAAAGACTATTCTCAGCAAGACTCAGGCTCATTAACATAGTTCGTTAAATTCTAAACTGAGTCAACATCTTTGTACTTTTTGAAATAAGATTATTTAAAAAGCATCTTTACTATTTTGTAGCATTCTTTTTAGTTTGGATTTCTTTGTATAGTTATTGCTTGAGGTTCCAGATTATAATTTTTGTATTATTGAATTTATTAGTTTAATTTCCAAAGTTGTGTTTACCAAAGTTTCATTCCACAGCACTTAGAAATTTTAAAAGTTGCTATAACCAGTTGTTGAAGACAGTGAATAGATTCAGTGTCTCCAAATAAAAACTTGATAGAAGTATTATAAAGCTGTGTCTTGCCATAATGAATAAGTATTTGATTAATGTGTTTAGTGCTCTGGTTGGAAATCACTGGGGAAATATAAATGTGATAAAATAGACTTGACCAAACAAAATGGATTGTATTGGACTGATGTTTTCCTGATGATGTTTGAAATGTGCTAAATTTATGTTTTCCCCCCATGTTTTAAATATAAGTTAAATGTAGAGTATATATTATTATATACTACATGTTCATATATATTTGAGGTATAAGCAATAAACTAGCTTTGGGATCTAATTCCTATTTCTACAAGGGACAGCTATATTTCATTTGTTGTTCTCAAATGCACAACTGAATTGTTCAAAAAACTTAGAAACTTGCATTTTGGAATATTAATTCACTCTGAATTTGAGAGCTTCCTATAACATGTTCTCTTTTCATTTGCTTTATAATTGTATTATCTATAATATATTTTGGCCTCATAAACTTATTTTGTCTTTTAGCAGAATTTTCTTCTTTTTGGCCTAGTATTTCAAAGCTCTTAAAGAGTGTATTCTTACTGTCTCGTAAGTTGTAGAGCGGTAGTGCTGGATTTGCAGGCAGAGACCTTCTAGTGGGTCCTCTCATTTGGCTAGTGAGGAAACGTGCAGCCAGAACAACTGAGGCCTTGTCCGAGGCTGTGCAGTTACCTATGTTAGGATGCAACTCTGACTGTTATCTCAGATTCTCTTTCCACCAAACTCTGCTTGGTTATTGGTATTCTCAGCAATACTAAGAGGTAACTGTGTTTAAACTTGTATTATATTTACTATTTAAACGTGTTTCCAAAATGTTTTTCAAGAAGTTAATTTTTAAATTTATTATTTGTCTGTTAGAGTTTCTTCCATTATATTTATTTTGAGGAAAGTAAAATTTCAGCCTATAGAGAAATTGAATTTTATCCTATTAAGTAAAAATAGTGACAACATTACATGGTATTCAGAAAATACAGAATTTATATTGTTAAGCAATAAGCAGCCTTTTAGGTACTTCTTTGTGGTGTTTGAGAGATAGGACAAGCAAGTTTAAAAAAGATTTTCAACAACAAAATGTGAGCAGTGATATGTGGGAAAGCACCTTGCATGTCAGAAGTGCTGGGTGTGAGTACACTGGAATTTATTAACCTGTTTATCTTACTTAGTTTGTCATAAGCCTTTTTGTTCTTTTATATGATTTCTTTAATGGCTGCATTTCATAGTATGATCCATAATATATTTACCGATCCTTCATTGCTAGCCATTTGAGTCTGATTTTTTCATTAAAATAAAAAACACGTTGTTTAGCTATTAGGTACAACCTAACTCATTTGCAAGATTATTTCTTTACAAGAACTTCCTAGAAGTAGAACTACCTGCACAGGATCTAAAATGGCTGATTTGTACTCTGTTGATGACATTGAACATTTCTCCATCTTTTGGACCTGCTTTTCATTCCTACCACATAGTAGTCCCTTTCCCGCATCCCAACCACTTCTTATTCTCATCATACCCTCTATAAAAATTTTATGCAGCTTCTGTTTTGGCCTTTAAAAAAGAAATCTTTTGAGTTGTTTTACTTTGTTACATATTTTAAGTTTAGAGAAGCCTAGAATTTTGCTCTCAGGTTGATGACCAGTTGGGAAGTATCAGTTGGTCTTTTTTGCTGAGTATGAGTAGACTTTTGTTATAATTTTTAGTAGTTTTTATCATTTCTTAAATTTTAGTATGTGCTTAAAAATGGCAGGCTTCTAATAGAATGTGATTATCTTCAATTTATTTGACAGTCATGTATCTCTTGTTATACAGCCACGTTTGTTTTTGTTTTCCATTTTTATATGCCATGGTGTAACATAGCTGTAAACTTTAATAAACGACCCCCCCAAAATAATGTAATTAAACCATCTTCTATCATTATTTTAGATTCACATAGCTGAAGAATCACTCATTACCATTTTAACTCTGAATTTTCCAGAATGTATCCTATGTCCTAAATTTCTGTCTGCTTTACTGTAACTCATGTATTTAGTGCTCTTAATTCAGAGTTTCCTTTAATAGAGTCGTTTTTACAGTACTATTCCTGGGGTCACTCAAAGAGTATGGTGTACAAATTTATCATTTTACACTTCAGTGTTTTTGGAAATTTCTGGATACCCTTTAATAAATTGCTTGAAATTGGGTTAAATACTGGTAGGATTTAAAATCTGATTTATAAGTCAATTCTCTTTGAAGTGAAGTTTTGAGAAATAGAAACTTTTCATGAAGTTCTTAAATTCATTTGTGGTGTTTTCATTTATCGTTTTCATATTCGTTAACATATATTGTTCCTTACCATTTACAGCTCAGAATTCTGCAAATGCAGATTTTGCAAACTTTGATGCATTTGGACAGTCTAGTGGTTCGAGTAATTTTGGAGGTTTCCCCACAGCAAGTCACTCTCCTTTTCAGCCCCAAACTACAGGTAGAGCTTCTCCAGCATTATGCTTAAATGTTTACTTTAAAAACAAAAGAAAAGTCTCTAGGCGTATTTTTGAAAAATTACTCTAAACTTAAATTCTATAATTACCTAATTTTAAAATAGTTCTGTCTTACAAAGCTCTGGGGAAACCTGACGTTTGTATTTTTTCTGTGTTCATTTGTTTTTCTGAACTCTTTGGTATGTTGTCTAATTCACGACATCTGTTCTCCTCCTTTTCCTGCACATGAATCTTCCTTAAATTTCTTGGACACAGAGGCATTAAAGTACTAAAAGTTTTTAGTTCACAGAACACATTGATTGAGGCTCTGAATAAAGGAAGCTAATTGATCGCTTCCATAGAACTAAAAGTTTAAGTAATATTCAGAGCAAAAAGCTTGAGAAAATAAGTGTTATTAGTCAAGAGTAGATTTTTTAATGATCACTTTAATCAAATTTTGAAATACTTTTCTGTGCAGGAATTGGTCTTTAAACATGGATACTCTCATGTAAACTGTATTGCTTTCAGAAACTCATTAAACCCTTGTTTAGATCTTTGGCTGATTACTTTTCTTTCAACTTTTAGCTCTGTGTATTGTCTTAAATCCTTTTCTTTCAATTTTCTTTTTTTTTTTCCTTTAAATTTCATCATTTACATAATTTCTGGCTGTCCAGCATTTAGAATGCTTTCATCTAGCTGCAGTTTTGGGGAATTTACTTCAGCTTTTCCTCTCCAGGCTACCAACAGTAAGTTCTGTTGTCAAGTAGGCGTCTTTTACTAATTTGTATGTTTTATACTGTATTTCATGGGTTTTCAATTATAAAATGGTAATCGTCTTTTAATAATAATCCTACATACATTCCCGCTTTTACTCCCTCTTCACTATTACTAAACTCAGGCTCAGAACACAATGGTATGTAATAAAAGAATTAGTTGATTTAATAATTCAATTTTTAATAATTTCTTCATGCAGTTTTGAAAGCTGAATATGTACTTTGTTCACCAGCTACTTGTAACAGATCATAATCTTTCAAATACAAACACACGTTACTTAGTTTTAATGGAAAACAGCCAGAGTTTAATTTCTGAAAGAAATTTTACCCATATATATTTGTTTTATAATGTTTAAAAAACTGATCGATGGAAAGTTTGTGTTTTTCTTTTTAGTAGCAATATATCTTTTCTGTTTTAAAAATATTTGTGTGCTTTGCTATCACTTTAATATATAACTAATGTAAATACTATTTTGATTGCTGAAACTAATGTTTAGGCATAAAGAACCAATTTCAAAAGAGTAGGATCAGAAGCATAGAATGAAGTACTGGCTTTGCTCTTTTCTTAGTACTTTAGGTCCAGAGCAGACATTAAAATCTTAGCAGGAAATATAAAATAGTGACCATTAGGTGAATTGTGCTCTATGAAGTAAAAAATTGCAATAGTATTTAAATTATTTATATATTGTGTACTGTAATTTTTATTCCTTGAACTATATAATAGAGCATGGTTTTACTGAGGACATTATGGTGGTGTATGCACATTGTTAGTTATTAGGTGGAATTAATAGCTCTTCAAGTAAAAGAAGTCTAAAGCTCAAAGACCACCTTTTAAGAAATTTTGGATGAAAATCTTATATCTTAAACATTTTAAATCTCTACCCTGAGATTTGTTTCAACCAAATCTCCATGGAGATGCAAAAGCATGTGGTGGAAGACACTTTGTGTCTTGCTTGTGGAGTCTGTTTAGGGAGAACTAGTAAAAGGTCATAGTGTGTAGCTCAATGTTCTGTAAAGTAACTGAGTCAAACCAGGTAGCATGGAGTTGCTCCCCTTGTGAATTACATTCTTCGCTCCCAGGGTAGATAATTACACATAGAAACTTGTTACCCTTCATGTTGCCAGGCCTTTGAAAATCTAGCTTCACAAATTATAAAAAGTCGTATGTAGATGATTAAAGTTAAATGCTGTTTTCCAGTTATTAATTTTAAGAATGTAGGATTGCTTCTAGAACATGTTATTTAGGAAGAAATGATCATATAATCTATCAAAGGATATTGGGAAAAGTGTAGAAACTTCAAGTGTTCTGTTTATTCTGTTACAGGTGGAAGTGCTGGATCAGTAAATGCTAATTTTGCTCATTTTGATAACTTCCCCAAATCCTCCAGTGCTGATTTTGGAACCTTCAATGCTTCCCAGAGTCATCAAACAGCATCAGCTGTTAGTAAAGTTTCGACGAATAAAGCTGGTCTACAGACTGCAGACAAATACGCAGCACTTGCCAATTTAGACAATATCTTCAGTGCTGGGCAAGGTACCAAGCTTTACACACAACAAATACAAATTTTTGTGTTCAGCAGTCCTCTAAGTTTGGTTGTATTTCTTAAAATCTGAGGATGCTGTGCTATTCTTAGTTGTTATATAGAAATTTTGTCTACAGTAAATGTTCATGACTATATGGCACATTTTGAATCTGAAATATCAACTACAAAACTGAAGGCATAGAAATGAATTTATAAACTTCTAGTTTTAGAAGAAAATAATTGACAAATATTTAATTTTGTATTAGAAAGCATGCTTTACTGTTCTAAGTCCAAAAAGGGCCAAGAAATCCTTTTAATAGAGCTGACTGGAAGGTCTATAATATATTCATCTTGAACCATTTTCTCTTAATATTTATTTTTTTAAAGAAAACATGATTTTTACACTGTATTTTTATACTCAGCTTTGGTCTTAAAGACCAGTATTTTGCCTCTCAAAATGCATAGTGCAAGCAAGGGCCTGCTTTCAGGCTGGATTTTGTCCCCTGATGTCTGGGCCTGCTTTCTCATCCCCAGAGTGAGTGTAGGAGTAGCACTGAACTCATGGAGTTGTGTTCCATCTGTTGTTGCATGTAAGGCATTTAGCACAGTGCATGGCCTATAGTGAGTGCTTAGTAAATGTTTCCTCTTACTACTCACTCTAAGTTTTCCTGGACAGTCTTGGGAAAATGGTATTAATAGGTTGTTCACATTAAGTCCAGCATTTTATGAATTTATATGTTCACTTGAATGAGATGCCTGTGTTTTAGAGATGGTAATGTAGCACTTTGAGAATTTCTTCTTTATGCACAGTTTAGATTTGTTATTGGTACAGAGTCTTAGTGTTTGTAGAAACAATATTCTGTCTTTACCACAGTGGTGTGTATAGCTACTAATAATGGTCCAGTATTTCCTAGATTATTTATTAGGTAAAACTCCAGAATCCTGTCCATTTATTTGCTTAGTTCCAGATCAGTTTTAAATTTATATATGTTCCATTGCAAATTTGGTTGATAAGTTGAAAGTGTAACTTTAAATTTTTGGTGTAAATTGTGTTTGTTTGTTCACAGGTGGTGATCAGGGCAGTGGCTTTGGGACCACAGGTAAAGCTCCTGTTGGTTCTGTGGTTTCAGTTCCCAGTCAGTCAAGTGCATCTTCAGACAAGTATGCAGCCCTGGCTGAATTAGACAGCGTTTTCAGCTCTGCAGCCACCTCCAGTAATGCATATACTTCCACAAGTAATGCTAGCAGGTACCTGCTTAGTGTTCCTGCTTTGTGTTTTATCTTTTAATCTTTTTTCAACTCTGAATAATAATGTTGTTAAATAATAACTATTTTGGGGTGTAATTTTTAAAGTATTTAATATTTGTATAAATTTGAGGAGACTGAGTTTAATTTGCTAATAAAATAATACACTTTGAATAATTACCATAATTTTATCTTTTCATTTAATCAGAAGTATTCCTCCTTGAAATACCAAAATGTAATTAAGAGTATGTACACGTCTCCAAATGGTCAGTTATTTACAGATTTAATTATACTCAGCAGAGAACTGTTTAGGGTACAGTTTTCAGTCATGAAGGCTAAATACTGAAAGTAACATATTGTAGCCTTAGTTGTAAATAAACATTTTTAGAGATGTTTGTACCAGGACCCGACACCACTTCTCTCTCTCTTCCATGTCACAGTGGTATTTACAAATAGTCATATCTGTTACTGTGTTCTGGGGTATCTGGCGTAAAGGAATTCTTGGCAGCAGGAAGCCTAACACATTTTAACAACATCAGATCTTTAAAAACTCTTCTAGTTTTGACTTCTTCATTTAAGAGTTAAGGAAACAGACCTAGAAGTACAGGTGAATTACCTGTACAGTGTTTTATGCATCTCTTTGTTTTCCATTTCTAAGCTTGTCTCTTCTTCTTTCTTTTGTTATCCTAGTAGCTGATTTCCCTTTAGCACCTTTTCTAGAGAGAAATGGTGGGATTGTAGCACTAACTACTTGGGTTCTCTAGTAATAAATTTTTTGTATGCCAGATGGAAAAAATTGAATCCAAAGAATAAAATTTAAAATGTTTATATATTTTTTGTTTTATTAATATTGTCTACGTTGGACATATGTAATAGTGGGCCAAAACAAAGTGGCCATGAAGTCTGGAAACATAGACAGGTATACAAAACAAATAGTTTATTGATACTACATTACGTAGTGGGCCACAGAGTGTGGTCCATGGAATGTTTGGAATACCTGAGTCCCTTTCAAGGTTAAAATTATATTCATAGTGATTCTGAGAGGTTTATTTGTGTTTTAATAAAATTTAATAAAATTACATTTTTACTGCTTCATCAAGAATATTAAGAAAAACTGAACCAACAATATTCATAAGTAAAACTGAATGTGTGGTGGTAAGAAATATGATGATTCATAGGTGGCTACTCGCATGGTTTGGTGCCATGGCCTCAATTCGTGCTAAGACGCCGGCATGTTTTACCTGCCATTGTTCTTGCACCATCAGTAAAAATGTCAGTTAGTGAAATCTTGACCTTTAACTATGTCTTCTTAATTGTCCCTGTGTTGAAGTGAGGTGTACATCAAGCGGTTCTTGATGTATCGATGCATATTGAAGTGTGATGGCTGTTTTGAGGTAAACCAACTTGTGTGGTTGTTTGAGTTGTGGAATGAACCAGCCACTTGTTTTATGGAACACAATTTTTCCTTGAATGTATGACTGTGATAGATATTTGGCAAACATTTTCTCAAAAATGGAATATTTTATTCTGTCACTTTAAGGAAAATAACTGATAATATTCACACTTTCAAGCAATTATTAGAATTTTGCAAAACTTATTGACCTCACCATGAGCTTGACAGCTTCCCATTACTTTTCTGATGAAATGGGTGGTGATATTAATGACTGTAATTTTTTGATTTTGTGTAAAGAAATGTGTTGACATTTGGAAGACTGGCATCAAGTATTTTCCAAATGATATAAAAGCTGTAGAAGATTCATTTAAAGTGCGAGATAGACTAGTGGATGTTACTTTAAGAGAGTACAAAAATCTTTATTGATATGGTTTCAAATTCCATATTGCAACCAACCTTTAGGAAACTATCACTGTTGTTTTTGGTATGATAAAGAAAATATCCACAATTATCTGAAAAATCTGTTAAAATATCCCTATTTATTGTTCAACTTCGTATCTATGTGAGGCCAGTTTTTCTTCCTATACTTCAACCTAAATAACATACCGCAGCAGATTGATCTTCTAGTAAGCCAGCCATTAAAGGGATTTGCAAAAGTATCAAAGTGTTACTCTTCTCAGTAAGTTCCTTTTATTTTGGAAAATCTAGTTATTTGTCATAAAAATGCTCCATATGTTAGCATGTAGTGATTGCTGTATTATTTTCAAATGAATAAATTTTTAAAAATTTCTGTACTGTATGTATTGATAAATATACCACACTTAAACAAAGGCTCTTTGGGGTTCTTCATAATTTTTCAGAATTTAAATGTGTCCTGAGACTTAAAGTTTGAGAACTGCTGTGATACATGAATGTTCATAATTATTTGTTTCCACATTTTATGGCCACCCTGTAGATAGATTACCCTTTCTTTTTTTATATGAACTGTTTCAATATTTGTTTTTAGCAATGTTTTTGGAACAGTGCCAGTGGGTGCTTCTGCACAGACACAGCCTGCTTCTTCAAGTGTGCCTGCTCCATTCGGAGGTATGTGTTTCTGCTGTATATATACTGGTTTTTATGAAGAGCCAAATGTATATTGTAAAGCATTTTCTTAGGGGTACCAGAAGACAGTCAAAGCAAGGATTTATTATGAGACAGCTCTAGTTATCTATCTTTAAAAATATATAAACAAATACTTTAGATAATTGAATACAAATGTATTAGGATTTTATTGTGTATTTTATAATTTTTTAAAGCTACACCTTCCACAAATCCATTTGTTGCTGCTGCTGGTCCTTCTGTGGCATCTTCTACAAATCCATTTCAGACCAATGCCAGAGGAGCAACAGGTAAGAAATAAAGATAGATTATAGAACAGTAAACTTTGGAAAAGGTATTTGTTGCAGAGACACCATGTGAAAAACATCAGAAAATAAGGTGTCTTTCTTCCTGAAGTGAATGGGAGATAGATGGGAGAGTCTGTCTATAAAGGCAAATGCTAACTGAAAATTTATAAAATCCTGAAATTTAATATTTGAAAGGGACCTTAAAAGTTATCTAGTGCCCACTGCTACTCAGTTAAAGCTTTCATTTTTCAGGTGAGGAAGCTCAAGCATGGAGACGAAACTTCCTTGAGCCACACAGCTAACTTATGACAGAGATAGTACTTGAACACAGTAATTCTGACTTATTTGGTTGCCTGGTTTCAGAGTTACTGGTTATAACTCATTCAATCTCAATAGGAAAAATTTATGAGAAGTTTGTTTTGTTTTGTTTTTTGCTTCTCATGAGATTGCAAGGGATGAATGGACTTTGTTACATGAGGACTTAATAATCAGGTCTTTTTCTAATGCATATCTCTTTTAGAGTGTTAACATTTTTAATTATCTATTTATTTAATTTTTCTGAGGAAGATTCACCCTAAGCTAAGTTCCACTGCCAGTCTTCCTCTTTTTGTATGTGAGCCACCACCACAGCAACAGCATAGCCACTGGCAGACAAGTGGTGTAGGTCCATGCTTGGGAACTGAACCTGGGCTGCTGGAGCGGAGTGTGCTGAACTTAACCACTAGGCAACCTGGGCTGGCCCAACATTTTTTAACTTGTGGGAATAATATTTGAATATTTTTTCTTTTGATAGCCTTTTTTGTCTTAATCCTCTTTATCCCTCTCTCTCTTTTTTTTTTTGGTTCATACTGCAAGCCAGACATATCTTTCTTGTAATGTACCTTTTTGTTTTAGATTGGCACCTGAGCTAACAGCTGTTGTCAATTTTTTTTTCCTTTTTCTCCTCAAATCTCCCCAGTTCCTCATTGTATATTTTAGTTGTGAGTCCTTCTAGTTGTGGCACGTGGGACACCGCCTCAGCGTGGCCTGACTAGCAGTGCCATGTCTGCGCCCAGGATCTGAACCAGTGAAACCCGGGGCTGCCAAAGCAGAGCACGTGATTTTAACCACTTGGCCATGGGACCAGCGTGTCTTGTAATGTACCTTTCGATCTTTGTCTTATTACTCTGAACACCAGAGCTATTTGGCAATACTTCAGACTGTCAGCAAGTGCATGTGGTGTGGCTTAATACCCATTAAGTCTAGAGTTTGTCAGCTTTGTTTTGTGCCCCAATAATTTTAGAACTAAAGCCTAAACTCCAGTTATAGCATATGTTAATGTGAAATCTTGAGAGATAAGGTACTTTGGAACATTGCAATTAAATTTGCTCCATTAAGAGTTAGTGGGGCTGGCCTGGTGGCGCAGGAGTTAAGTTCACACGTTCCATTTTGGGGGCCCAGGGTTCACCAGTTTGGATCCTGGGTGCGGACATGGCACTGCTTGGCAAGCCATGCTGTGGTGGCCATCCCACATATAAAGTAGAGGAACATGGGCACGGATGTTAGCTCAGGGCCAGTCTTCCTTAACAAAAAGAGGAGGATTGGCGGCAGATGTTAGCTCAGGGCTAATCTTCCTCAAAAAAAAAAAAGAAGAAGATTTAGTAATTAGGGGTTTGCCCCATGGCTGAGTGGTTAAGTTTGTGCACTCTGCTTCAGTGGCCCAGGATTTCACCAGTTCAGATCCTGGACGTGGACATGGCACCGCTCATCAAGCCATGCTGAGGCGACATCCCACATGCCACAACTAGAAGGACTCACAACTAAAAATATACAACTATGTACCAGGGGGCTTTGGGGAAAAAAAGGAAAACATAAAATCTTTAAAAAAAAAAAAAAAGTAATTTTTAGCAAACCTCTTTGTCACTGGCAAGATTAAGAATTGTGATTTTAGGAGTTTGAAGTATAATTTTGCTTTTTCACATAAATGTCTTTAGTCATAATTTGTTGGTGTCTTGCATAATAGGTGTTTAATAGGTATTTGAATTTCACACAATTTAATTTTTAAAAAATGGTTTGTTTTAATTCAAGTATACCTACTCGATTGTTTTACATTTCTTTTGTGTTTTGGACAAAAATATATTATTCATCAGTTGTGATATATGCAGTTTTCTGTTTCTTAGTATATTATTTCTACTTGAATTTGTAAAATGTCTCATGGCACATGAGTTTTTGTACATTGTCTCGTGTAATCCTCTTAACTCTCATCAAATAAATGTTTTAATTACTTTTTGACAGCAGAGGGAACTAAGGCGCAGAAAAGTTAAGTGAATATGTTTTGGGTGCAGCCAAACTTGTGTTCAAATCCTGATTTAGTATTTACTTGCTAGGTGATCCAAAGAAAGCTTTTTGTATATTCTTTTTTTAATGAATGAAGTAAAGATGAAAGGGAGATGTACTAACATTTGTTGAGTGTTTAAAGTTATTTGCAAGATACTGTTGAGCTGTTTATAGCTGTTATGACCCCATTTAACAGCTGAAGAATGGAAACATAGATTATACCTTGACTGAGGGTGTGTTATTCTAACTTCTCTGAGCCTTATTGTTGTCCTTTTCTGTAGAATGTGAACAATATTCTCTGACTGGCAGGGTTTTGTGAGAATTAGATGATGCAGACCACTGTGCGTGGTCTTTGAATTATTGTATGTACTTGGTAAATCTTTCCTGTTATTTTCCTTTCATGACTGTACCTCTGAGTTGGTTCTGTCAGAGTTAAGGGCTTTTTTTTGCTTAGGTTATTTAGAGTATGAAAGTCCTTTAAAGTTAAGGTTCTCAGTAGGATGTAAAATAATATATAACGTACAATGTATGTTGACATGATATAAAGTAATTTTAAGATTAACCTAAGCAAAATTTATCGAGAGGTAAATCTACTGTGTTTACAAATTTTTAGTTCAGGGTAAAATTTTTCAATTATAAACTATTTTGAATTTTTCATATTGATCACCTTTATTAGTTATTGAATTAACTAAAAGTAAATGTTAACTACGTATGTTCTTATTGAAGCTGAAATATAAACATTTCTTTGACAAATACTTTATGCTTAGGAATTTCCAATGTTTTATGCCATCAAAATTAATATTATTTCTTTAGGAAATATTTTTTATTTCTTTCACATGTAATAATATTGCTAAATTCCATTTGAGGTAGCTTTTGAAAGAGGGAATTGCATAATAGTTTTATGTGAAATTTTAACCATTTTACTGATATATTTCATGCTTTAAATACACATTTTAATAATTTTTTTTTTCTGCATTTCTAAAGCTTTGGCGCTTTAACTTTATGTTACATGGAAACCTTCATTAGGAGATGAGCCAGTATGTCCTAAGTCCTTTCTTATTTTAGGCTTCTATAAAATATTTAACATTCTTTTTTTTTCAGAGCCCTCGATCCCTTAAATCTAATTGAGTTAATATAATTTTTAATTTTTAGGAAATTCTCTTATAACTCTTAAATCTCTCCTTTGCCACTGAACGAATAGCCTTTATTTCCTAACATTCATTTTAATGAATGAATGAATGATTTTAAAGATTTTTTTCCCCAAGGAGATAGACTTAGAGAAATGTAGAGCTCAAGGAATCATAGTAGCATCTAGCCCACTATCCCTGTTTTATTACCTAGGTGGAAACCAATTTCATGAATTTGCCTTGAGGGTTCAAAATTAATTAATGACTAATCTAATATTAGTATCTAGAACTCTTCTAAACCAGCACTATTTTCATTCCAGTGGAACATATAGCCTCCATATTTATAATTTATTTTTGCATTGATGAAACTCATACATGTCAGCATTATATGCTATTTCTTGTTTTCATCTAAATACTCAGTAAGCCCACCTAACCTATCTAGTATATTCTGGAAATGGAGATTAATACAAAAATGGGATGGTCATGGATAAGGAAAAGCAAAGGAAAAAACCTAAATAGAAAGTTACATGGACTGTGTAGAACATGTTTGTTTATAGAAGTGATTTATTCTCCCTACATTCTCACCCTCAGTTTACTCTTAATGTTTGGATATTTGAACATCTCTAACATTTAATAATCTGCACTTGGCACTTTTACCAGCCAATAAAGACAGTAAAGTTTAAAAAAATAACACATACACAAAATTAAACTTCATAGTGGTCTTGAGAAAATATTTGCAAATCATTTATCTGATACTTGTGTGCAGAATATATAATGACGCTTACAACTTAGTAATAACGGGACAACTCAGTTAAAAAATGAGCAGAGGATTTGAATAGACATTACTGTAAAGAAGATATACAGATGTTCAGTAAGCTCATGAAAAGATATTGAACATCGTTAGTCATTAGGGAAATATAAATCAAAACCACAGTGAGGGGGCTGGCTCCATGGAGTAGTGGTTAAGTTTGGCACGCTCTGCTTTCGCAGCCCTGGTTTGTAGGTTTGGATCCCAGGAGCAAACGTATAACATTTGTCAGCCATACTATAGCAGCAACCCACATATAAAGTGGAGGAAGACTGGCACAGATGTTAGCTCAGGGCTAATCTTCCTCAGCAAAAAAATCCCCCCAAAAAACCAAAAACCAGAAAACACCACAGTGAGATATCACTTCATACCCACTAGGATTGCTGTAATCAAAAAGAGACAATAATAAGCACTGAGGGAATTAGAAAACTTTTGCTAGTGGGGATGTAAAATGGTATAACTCCTTTGGAAATCAGTTTCTCAAAAAGTTAAACATAGAGTATCATATGACCTAGCAGTTCCACTTACGGGAATATACCCAAGAGAAATAAAAACATACATCCACACAAAAACTTGTACACAAATGTTCATAGCAGCGTTATTCATAATAGCCAAAAAGTGGGGACGCCCCAAATGTCCATCATCTGATGAATGGACAAACCGAGTATGTTATAGCCATGCAATGGAATTTGTTTGATAATAAAAGGTAGTGAAGTACTGATAGACACTACAACATGGGTGAACCTTGAAAATACTGGGCTAAATAAAACCAGCTAGTCACAAAATGGCATATTATGTATGATTCCATTTATATAGTATGTCCAGAATGGGCAAATCTATAGAGACAGCAAGTAGGTGTGGTGAAATGCAGAGTGACAGCTGATAGGTAGGGAATTTCTTTTAGGGATGAAAACGTTTTAAAATTAGATTTTGATGATGGTTGGATAATCCTATGAATATATTACAAAACATTGAACGCTATATTTTAAGTGGACAAATTATATGATATGTGAATTATATCTCAAAAAGCTGTCAAAAAAAGTCTAAGAATTTTTTATGGCAGCCCGAGACTAGAGCTTAGGAGGGTATCATTGTTGCAGACTGAGGTATAGTCATTAAGAGTGGTTAACAGTCACTGTTGACTGAAAGTTAGTTTTTGCCAAAGTATGTTTTGTAGAACATGTCTCCTGAGATGTTGTATCAGTACTCCATGGAACAGGGTTCTATGCCAGAATGATATGGGAAACACATCACAGTTTAAAAAACATCTTTTTAAGTTAGCACGAAAAATACGTTCATTGAATATTAACTATATAGTACTTTTAAAATTCCTTGTTACGTTTAATCCTCACAGCAGCTTTGCAAAGTAAGTACTATTATCGTCCCTGTCTCTCCACTCCTATTTGCACATGAGGAAACTGAGGCTTATAGAATTTAAGTAATTTCCTATAGTTAGAAAATAACAGAACCAAGACTCAAAACCACTCCAGTCTCTCATTTGCTGTTTCCCACAGTTTAATTGGTTTAGTATGCTAATTTAAATGCATGGACATCTATTTTAGAGACAGTCCCACTCCAGATGCTTATAACAAACAAACATAGAAAGGTTTGGTGTGCAACAACCTACATTTGTGTTTTATTAATTACATTTATTTATATGTAACCTCTCTGACCTTAGTCATGCCAGGGGAGTAAGATCTGCACAAGGAGCATGTTTCTTTTTCCTCCCTTTTCAGCCACTGCATTTTAAACAGAAAGTGCTGCTCACCTTTCTAATGAACTACGTTGAATAGTTTCCCCTCATAATGCTTCATAGTTCCCTTGTGTTATCTTTATGTATTCCAGTTAATGTACAGAGTTGTAAATAAAACAGTCAAGCATTATTCTGGTGCCCTCTCCAAGATTTGACTTTCCTAGATGCTAAAGGTAGATGCTAAATCCTTTTAGATGATCCTATGCATAGCTTTTTTGGATGTAACTCATGAGGCCTACAGAGTCTTTTTATGGATATGGTTGTATCTTCACATGAAAAAAATGTTAGTGTTTATTTAAAAAATGAATTTCATAAATGTTTCTTAATTTGGTATTTTTTATTCTGGTATTTATTATTTTAACCTCCCTTTTATTTCAAACTGTAAATATTACAGTGTCATGAATATAGTTGAAATAAAACAACTCTTTGTGGATGTGTTTTTATAATATGTTCTTATGCTACCCACTTTGTAACAGTACATTCTAATTTTAGAGCTTTTTAATGAAACAAATTTACTTTTATTTGACAGTAGTTATCCATAAGTTAATTGACTTTGGTCTCTTTATGGCTTTCCATAAGGCCTTTCTGGAGCAATGCATTCTCAAGTGTTTCCTCACGCTCATTTTGGTAGGTGGCCACAACTAATGTCTAGATTTGTGTGGCAGTTTGTCTACCTGCTTGTGGAAGCTTCTGCTAGTGTTCTGGATCCCTGCATGTGGAATTAAGTTTTTCCTATGTTTTAAAATGGAGTGGGCATGGATGTGTGGCATTGGGATTACATTTAAAGTTATATGAAAATTTTTTGTAGTGGTTTATGTTTTTACTGCTGAAAAGCATTGTTGCTTACCTCCATGGTCACAGTAGAATGTTAATAGCTTTTGCGATTGTTTTTCTTGAGTTTGAATTCATAGTACTTTGAGTGGCACCTTTTCGATATACCAAACCATTTACCACATTATTCCATGGAGTTTAGTTTTGCTTAACTGTATCCAAGTTTTGCTTCTTAGTGCTTTCTTAAAAAGTAATTGTCAAAGTTATGTCAGTGCATTGTCGTCTGTTATGAAGCCCTCTTTCCCTTGCAATGTGCTTATTATTCTTTAATTCACTTGCTTCCTGGTGGCTTGTTTTCCCTTTTTCCTCGTCAACAGTAAAAAAGTAATTTAAAAAATCTGACATTCTGATTAGGTACATTGAGGAAAATTACATTGTTATAAACATTAGAATTAGGATTACTTTGGGCAACATCTATAACATGTTCTTTAGTTTTTTTTAATAAAAGATGATTCTGTGTAACATTTCTAGTATTAATTTCTGTGCCTTAAATCAGTGGTCAAGTTGGCAAATTTTTTTAAATTAGGAATTTCAGTGAAATATCATGTTTTAGCATCATGCTAAGAATATTTCACTGTTTCATTACTAGTATTGTGTATGAAAAGCAGCGTTTCACTGAGACCTTTTTTGGAATGTGTGTATAGTTGGAAGATTCTGTTTTTAATCTTCTCTAACAATAAGTAATACACTGTTCTACTACATGTGTTTCTGTAATGCAAGTTAGTTCATAAGGACAGTCGTGCGTCACAACGACAGGGATACGTTCTGAGAAATGTGTTGTTGGCTGATTTCATTATTGTGCGAATATCATAGAGTGTACTGACCCAAACCTGGATGGTATAGCCTACTACACACGTAGGCTCTATGGTACTAATCTTGTGGGACCACCATCGTATTTGCCATCTGTCATTGACTGAAACATCGTTATGTGGCGCACGACTGTAATTCATGAATGGGGGAATGATGGCAGCATACCACATATGTAGTGGTAGTTCACACACAGATTCCCCAAGCTGTGCGTGCTCTATCCCACCAGGTGACAGTGGCTAGACGTGGCAAGCCATGGAGGAGTACAGTATTGAACACAGTACTCATTTACCCTCCATTCTTTGTCTCTTCTAAGAATGCTTATTTCACTCCCTTTTCAATCTTTGTGCATTTTGTCTTAATTTCTGTAACTCAGCAGTCTTAACCTTCCTTGTACCCTTTATCCAAAGCAGCCTTCATTTACCTTCCAGTAAGGAATGGGAGTTCATATATTTCCTTTGGAATTGATTTATTAAGAATGCCCGTGTCCTTTTAGTTGTGTTAGTGTTTTTATTAAGCTCCCCCGTCCCCCTTTTTGGCCCCAGTTACAAAGCTGCATAGGTTTTGAGTGGCCTACCTCTAACCCAATTTCTTCTATAAATCTTGTTATTTTTAGTGAACTGTTTTGCAGAGGTTTTATAAATTTTTTTCCAGGCATGTACATATTATAGCAGACAATTCAATAGATAAAATTAAACTTTGGGCTATTTTACTGTATATAGCAAAACAAAACTAAAAACTGTGTATACTAGTATACATGTAAATTGCTTGTTGGTGTGCTTTAAAAAGTAGACTTGAACTTTATATAATTACTTTGAAAAATTTTCTTGTGATTTCAAATGATAGCTTTATTAGTTTTATTCTGGTCGTTGGGTTTCAGGAGAACAAAATTTTATAGATTATGTCAAACTGTATAGCGCTAAAACTTATACTAACTGTTCGAGTTTTGGAATTTAAAATGTCCTTAATGTACATCTTAATATTTTTCAAGGTAAGTGTTGTATATTCTATAATGTTGAGTACGAGAAACAAAACCTACCATTGTGTAAGTAAGTGATCAGCCCTTCTTTTCTCCTGTCAGCGGCTACCTTTGGCACCGCGTCCATGAGCATGCCTGCGGGGTTCGGTACTCCTGCTCCCTATAGTCTTCCCACCAGCTTTAGTGGCAGCTTCCAGCAGCCTGCCTTCCCAGCCCAAGCAACTTTCCCTCAGCAGACAGCTTTTTCTCAACAGCCTAATGGTAAGAGCTGACACCTGGCTAGCTGTAAGTCCCCTTTAGGGATCCAATATCATAATATGTGTTTGGACAAAAAGACTTACCTAGAGAATGCTGGAGCACTGTCCACTGCATGTTTACTACACAAATGTAAAAGCCTTTGATGATTTGGGCCTCAGAAAGTTGAATGATGTAATAAGTTTTTGTGGCCAGATTACAGATTTAGGAGAAATCAGAGACTCTCTAAAGAGTACCCTTTTTTCCTCAGAATCTCTGGTGTCTTTCTTATTGATTTGTCTTATGTGTTCTATTATGCTTCTTGATTTTAAAAGGAAATGTTATAGACTTGGAGTGTTTTTGTTTTGTATCAGAAAAATGTTATGTGCCATTTTGTTTAAGTATGTATGGTAACATAGACTTATAAATAGGTAACTATATTATGTTTAAAGTTTTGTTAATTGTCTTTGGGAAGATTCTTAGAGACCAGTTTTTTAACCCATTTCTCTCATTTCCTAAAGTTTGAAGCCCATAGATTTGAAGATTATTCTTGAATTACGATTATGTATTTCTTTTTTTAAAGTCAGTGGTTAACTAAAACTTTGGAAATAAAATATTTCCTAGGGAATACTGTGATGTTCACATAGGAACCATTGTGTATACAACTAGGATATACAACTATGTACTGAGGCTTTGGGGAGGGAAAAAAAAAGAAACAATGTGTTGTCCTCTTAGCTCTTCTCAGATAGCTCTCACAAGCTCATCTGTTAATTAAATCTTTTGACTGTCAGCAGTTTACAAAGCTGAGACCAATTGGAATTAACCATTTCTGGAGAGCTACATGAAAGCTCTTTTAAGACATGCCACAGGAAGTTTGTCTCTAGTATTTGAAAGAGCATGAGACCCAAGAACTTAACATTGATATTTTATTTGGTTGCTCTGGTAGGAATTTCTCTGAAACTCACTATGAGGCTTTGTAAGCATCAGATTGTCTCTCAAAGGCATGGGTTATAATTGGGGCTTCTGTTTTAACAAGGTGCAGGTTTTGCAGCATTTGGACAAACAAAGCCGGTGGTAACTCCTTTTGGTCAAGTTGCAGCTGCAGGAGTATCTAGTAATCCTTTTATGGTAAGTGGGATGCAATTTTAAACACTTTATAAATTGTTGCATGTTATTTTCAAATTAGGAAAAGCAGGATTGACTCCTCCTAGATGTTGTTTGGTGTTCTACTAATATGACAACGTAAGATTGTGCAAATTGAGGCAGCCATCATGCGCGATCCTTTTTTTGCGGGGGCGAGGGAGTGAGGAAGATTGTTCCTGAGCCAACATCTGTTGCCAATCTTCCTCTTTTTGCTTGAGGAAGATTGTCTCTGAGCTAACATCTGTGCCAGTCTTCCTCTTATTTTGTATGTGGGGGACCGCCACAGCATGGCTTGATGAGCGGTATGTAGGTCCGTGCCCGCATCCGAACCCCAGGCTCCCAAAGTGGAGCGTGCAAACTTAACCACTATGCCACTGGACTGGCCCCCGATCCTTTTTTGACTTAAAAAAACCCCACACATTAATCAGTTGCAAATCAAAGCATTGACAGTAAATAAGCTGTTTTATAACATGAAACGTGTCTGCTTCCTTGTCGAAGTAACATCTTATGAGAGGCTATAGATTAAGTGAATTAGTGTGAAAAGGGGTCTTGGAGTCAGAGATTTGGTTTGAATCATAAATATTTTTTTAGAGCTAAGTCCCTTCTTAGAATCTATTATGAGAAGTATATGAAATAATGGATATAGAGGCCCAGCAAGTGCCTGATACCTAATAGTTTCATTATAGTATGTTGCTAATAAGAATAATGAATAAATATGATTGCCAATAATTATAAAATATTTCCTAATCTAAATACTGTTTAATATTTTCATCTTTTCCACACACTACTCTTATTTGTCTGCTTGTTTTGTCTTATGTTTTCCTTTAGACTGGTGCACCAACAGGACAATTTCCAACAGGAAGCTCATCAACCAATCCTTTCTTATAGCCTTATATAGACACTTTACTGGAACGAACTTTTACGTGGTCACATTACATCTCTCCGCCTCTTGCACTGTTGTCTTGTTTCACTGATCTTAGCTTTAAACACAAGAGACGTCTTTAAAAAGCCTGCATTGTGTATTAAACACCAGATAATATGTGCAAAACAGAGGGCTCCAGTAACAACTTTTAACCTGTGAATTGGCAGAAAAAGGTAGCGGTATCATGTATATTAAAAATTGGCTAATATTAAGTTATTGCAGATACCACATTCATTATGCTGCAGTACTGTACATATTTTTCTTAGAAATTAGCTATTTGTGCATATCAGTATTTGTAACTTTAACACATTGTTATGTGAGAAACGTTACTGGGGAAATAGATCAGCCACTTTTAAGGTGCTGTCGTATATCTTGGAATGAATGATCTAAAATCATTTTAACCATATTGCTACTGGAAAGTTACAAAGTCAAAATTGGAAGGTTTTATTCATTCTTGAATTTTTCCTTTCTAAAGAGCTCTTCTATTTATACATGCCTAAATTCTTTAAAAATGTAGAGGGATACCTGTCTGCATAATAAAGCTGATCATGTTTTGCTACAGTTTGCAGGTGAAAAAATAAATATTAGAAAATATGCTATTGTTTTTGTGTTCTTGCTGCAATGCCTTTACCAAAGTGGCCTTAAATATGAGTAGTGAATTGAGAACATCTTGAATTCTTAAATTAGAATTTCAGAAGACGTTTAGTGACTTTTATGTCTAAAAGAAGAAATTTTATAAAAGGCCATGTAGAAAATTTATTAAAACTACTATGACTGCTGTATTCAGGAATATGTCAGTGGTAAAGCATTTAAATGTAGCTTGTCAGATTCACCGTAATCCTTCTAATTTCTTTGCAACTTCTTAATTTTGTGAAAATTTGTATATATGAAGAATTTGCATGTGTGTGTATTTACAAATTTTTTTAAGTATCTTGAATTCTCAGACTGCAAAAGGCCTATTTTAACTATTGATTTTTTTTAAAAAAACTATTGTCTTTGAATGTATTGGAAGCAGACATGCATTAACTGTGACATGATTGCACCTCAGTTTTTTGTTTTTTGTTTTTCATTTGTTTGGACAAGCTGATATTATTAATAGGACATTTGTTTATGTTCATTTCTGGGGGAAAGAAACTGGAACCCAGTGTTACTCTAAAGTTATAGAATACTTTGTTTAAAAAGACAACAATACTAATGTTTAGTTATATCTTTTTGTTAATATTCAAATGGACTTGTTTAAATATTTATGTACAGTAATGCCTCATTCATCCAGAGATAAGCTTTCAGTCTCATCAAAACAGAACAAACTGAGAAAATTGGAATAGTTTTTTTAACAAATGCCTTTGAGCAATGCACATAGATCACAAAGTCTGTAAGTTAGAGCTCATGCATTTGTTTTTATGTGAAATTTTAATTATTTGATTTTCCAGCCCATAGCATCTTAGCTGTTCAGAATGAGGGCTTGAAAGGAACGAGATAGAACAAATTACGAAGAGCATACACTGTCGAAGACCATTATCGTAGGGGCAGCCAGGCCAGCCTAGAGGACATCACTCTGTTATCATCTTCTGATAATTGTCTATTACTGTGACTCTGTGTCATCAAGAAAAGGTGAAATTACATATACATATATGTAATACAAGTTTGAAAAGTTTTATCTTATAATGATTAAAATTTTTTAAAAAGCTTTGGTATTAAAAGAGGTGAACATTAGTTTCCTCAAACATTTTATTCACGTTGAATACCTTTTTCAGTGATGACTACATGAATTACCATACTATATTAAAATCTGTTGTGATAATTTAGACTTGTTAAAATATTGCTATCCATTGCATATCTAGCTGAACCATTTTGATCAAGAAGACTAGGAAATCTCTGCCCCTTTTCTGAGTAGTATGCCTCTTCTCTTAGAATTAAATGAATGCTGCAAAGGTCTAGGTGTGTGTTGGTGTCTACTTGAAATGTTTCTACATTTTTGGGTCTCCCTCCAGCCCCATTTTCACGGAGGGAATACTTAAGAAATGTCTTTGAATTTCTCTGTTTTAGATTGTATTGGGTCCCAATCAATTCATATGTACAAAGTTATATAATTGTAGGCCATTACCCAAATAAGCTACCAGGCTTTCCGTCTAAGAAATAAGTAAATTAAACAGTTGTTATTAAAATAATTTTAAAGACTATTTTTTTCTGGGTAAATCTTGAAGTTTGTAATTAAATGGGAACTCCTGTCGACTTACTTTAAATGAGTGCTTATAAAATCAAAATGCTTAGCTGAAGAAGCAGTCCAGCTATAATGTAGATTTAAATCAGTTTCTGTTAGACTTTGATATTCAGATATGCTTCTAGTTCTACGTAGACCATCAGAATTATGTTGAGTCCTGAACAGGAGAAAGTCCTTGAAGGTGAGAGCTTGAAGACCCTCATGTGCCCTGGCTGATTGGTTGAATCAGATCTCTCCTCTTCTGTCTTTGCTCAGGAAAGAAAAGTTTCTTTTCTCTTAGGGTGGCAAGCTTTGCTGATACAGTGAAAAGGCATGTTTTATTCTCATTTTTGTGAAAATAGAGATTAGGTAGTCACTTTCTTAAAATAATTCCGTCTGTGAAAATGAAGAAGCGTATCAGTGCTTTTACCTGAATTGCGCCTGTTCCCTACACACGCCTCCGTGCTGTGGTCGCTGTGGGTGGGTAAAAGGGCAGAGGGACTGGCTGCTTCCTACCACAGGGCCAACAGTTCTGCGACATTTTGGTCTCAGGACCATACCTCTTAAATTATTGAAGATCCCGAAAGGGCATTTTTTATATAGCGTCTATCTATCAGAATTTTACTGTGTTAGAAATTGATACTGAGACATTTAAAAAGCATGTTTGTTTAAGTATAACATTAATAAACCCTTTACATGTTAACATAAATACCATTTTTGATAAGAAAAAACTGTTTTCCAAAAACAGTTAACGAAAAGAACATTGTCTTAGAGTTTGCACAAATCTTCTGGCTCAATAGAAGCAGTAGGATTCTCATACTATTTTTGCATTTTGGTTCTTTTTATATCGCATGGCATGTGTACACTAGAGAACTCTGCTGTGCATTTGTGAAATCATGAGTAAAACCAACATATAACTTCTTAGTATTATTATGAAGATAGTTTTGGCCTTGGGTTTTGGAGACCCTCCAGGGTCCTGTGAGAACCCGTTGAGAACCCCCGCACCGTCCTTTAAATTTGTATGTTTCTGGAACAGCAGTGTTTAGTTGTAGGGTAAGCATACTACTTTATGAACTTCTAAGTGTTTTGTTTGCTTGGTGTGAAAAATTGAAATTCCACTTGAAATTTCAAACATTTTAAACATTGTTTTTGGACTTTTCTTCCTTGTATTTTTATTTGAAAGTAATTTAATAATGATAAGATTGGTATCTCCTCTAGAAGGATATTGCAAGTTCAGATTCATGGTTATTGGTGTTTATTTTGGTATCATTTACTATTCTGACCACTTTGAAATTGTGGAGTTGTTTTGGGGAAGTATCAAATAGCTATTTTAAAATTTTAATAGAACACCTTGCTGAAGAAAAGTTCAAACTGAAGACTAGTTTCTTATCTCTCTTATGTTTATAATTAATAAAGAATTTTAGCTTTATATATGCACACACACATATATATTTTTTAATGAAAAGTGGCTTCCTCTGACAAAAATCACTACCCTCCAGGCTATCAGCTAGTACAATTAAAGGAATGTGTTTACTTCTTAAGAAAAGGTTTGGTATGGTTTTTTCCCCCAGTGGTTTTTTACACTTTGTCCATTTTTAAAGAGAGTACTTGCTATTGCTTCTCATTTAAACAAAATATTTTAAAATTCTTTTGAAGACATAGTGACGTTTTAAAAGGTAGTTTACCATCAGTAGCCTCCACATGCTCTGGCTTTGGTGCTGCTGCTGTTGGTGTTCTGTCAAATAACGCTTTCATGAGGTGATGTTCCATTTCCATCCTGAGGTGGGCCCTGTGCCTTGCTTCTTGAGCCGTCTTAATCCATATGTTTGTACTCCTACACCGAGCTCCTGTTCAGAAAGACTCACCTCATCTTTGGCCTGCACTTCAAGTCTCAGACTTATATCAGAAAATGACTCTAGGGGACCATTATGAAGATGTGTTCTTTTAAATAGTAATGACTTCAAAGTAATATGGTGGTGGGATTTTGGGGTGTGGTTTATTAAGCCCTTTCAGTGTATCAAAAACTTGCTAAATGCTTCTCAGAGTATCTCATACAATCCTTAATGTGGATTTGTGCTTGAAGGATGAAAGAAGCAAGGCATAGAGAGGTTAAGCTAATGACAGAGCTGCTCTGGGGAGCAAATATTTTATTGTTGGATTAAAATGCTGTCACATTTATGTGTAAGTGGATTTTTTTTTAATCTTTCGAAATTCCAGGAGAGTTACTTTGTATATCCTATATGCCTAATAAAACATAATCATTTAATTTGGGTTCCAGTCATAATTTGACGAAATCAGTGCAGTTTATTCTTTAGGATTTTATTTAAACTTTCCAAGTAAATTAATGGCATAATTAGTGGTGCGTGTTTTAAATTAAAGAGAAATCTGAAGTATCACAGTGATTGCTGTTTTGTGAAACATTCTAACTTTATTGATAGAGTTTGTGCCCTAGACAGTTTTAAAATGTACTTTTTAGAAGATGCTGTTATTAAAATTTGTGTTCTTAGTGTATTGTATTGAATTCATCCTCATTAGTTAAATTTTTCTTTGTATATTTTAAAACTTTATAGTGTCATTAATTAAAATTTTTGTGTGGTATATTTGAACAAAAGAATATACGACCAAGATGTAATCCAGCGTTGCGCTGGTGACTGTTTAACAACTTTTTCTCGTGAAAAAATGCCTTGCTTCATAGTGGTTTCTGATCCATGTAGTGTAAATACTCTCACCCTGGATGGTTTCACCTACCCATCTGATGTCATTAAACTTGGGGTTAGAAAGAGACACACTGGGGCCGGCTCCGTGGCCGAATGGTTAAGTTCATGCGCTCTGCTGCGGCGGCCCAGGGTTCGGATCCTGGGCGCGGACATGGCGCCTCTCGTCAGGCCACGTTGAAGCGGCGTCCCACATCCCACAACTAGAAGGACATGCAACTAAGATATACAACTGTGTAGAGGGGGAGTTGGGGGAGATAAAGCAGAAAAAAAAAAAAGATGGGCAACTGTTGTTAGCTCAGGTGCCAATCCTTAATAAAAAAAAAAAAGGAAGATTGGCAACAGTTGTTAGCCTAGGTGCCAATCTTTAAAAAACAAAAAAAGACACACACACCGTGGCCCTCCCGAGCCTTCGCAGGCCAGCTCCAGCACAGCACTGACAGAATTCCACAAAGTCATTAACTTTTTTGGTTATTTGGTGATTGTGTCAAGTATTTGAAGAGTCTTTTATTTGTATTATTCAGCAAGCATTTGGGTGCTAGTTTATTTCTAGAAGTCTACTGGGCACTGAAGTATTTAATCTGGAAAGACTCCAAATATGGTGAACCTGGTTTTAAAAAGTCCAATGACTGGGCTAATGTAGGGGTTGCACGTTCATGGAATGTACTCTGAATTCTGTCTGCAGTTGTATTTTGCTTGACCAGCACAGTGTTTTAAAAAGTTCGATTTCGAATAGTTTTAAGGGGGTATGTACTCTTAAGGTGGCCGCTAATCTACCACTCCCAATTTTTGTAGCCTCAAACATTCAAATGCATTTTAAGGTCATTGAATTGGCAAATCCTGAGCTGATATAAATGGCTCTTCTTATGCCACCTTTTATTCTGATAGTGGAGTCAACTCTGTAAGGTTTGAATTTATGATCTTATTTTCAAGTGAAGACTTGCCAAGAATGTATTTCCTTTCAAAGCTGCTAACCTCTGTGTTTTGCTTATTTTACGCCAATGGATAAGAATTCAACATATATTTAAATATATTTTTGGAATCTATGCTTGTTCAAGTCACAAACACTGGAGTTTAATTAAATAGAAATGTTGTGATTCAGGCTTTTGTGTAAGGGAAAAGTGATCCTGGATAAAATATTTTAATTGGTGATTAAAATGCTCATTAGTTAACTTTTTTATTAGTTCTCTGGAATCTTGAGTAGATATTATCCCAGTTACTGTTTAAGCAATGAGAGCAAGATTTGCTGAATTTTCAACGTTTTCTCTCAGTCTTGTATGGAGGGCCAGAGGAGGCAAGCACCGAGGAGCCTTCTAGTTCTGACTGAGTGGCGGGTGAGTGAAGGCAGCGGAGGACTGCGCGCTGATCTTCTGCAGTCCGTGTTCCATAGAACGCTGCGGGCACAATCGGCTTTTTAAAGACTTTAAAGGTTTTTATATATTATCATAAAATAATCCATGCTTATGATATTTAAAAATTACACAGTATACACAGGGGATAAAGTGAAAAAGTATGTCTCCTTTCTGTGACTTTATTCCCATATCCCAGAGGAATATAGTTTCCTGTATTCTTGTATAGTCTTTCACAAATGTTATTACTTATCTATATGTCTTTATATTCATATATATGCCTCTCACTGTCCTCTCTTATTTTAGATGTACAGTTTTGTAACTTGGTTCTTGGTTATCCACATCCAGCTCTAACTCGTTATTTTAATGGCTCGAAGATTTCGTTTTTTGGATGTCCCTTTTGAAGAACATTTGTTTATAGATTTCTCTACCAGAAACGTTGTTACAGTGAGGATATCCTTATGCATCTATGAAGATTCCTCTTGCTTCTGCCTGACTGGAAACTCAATAAAATAGACCTCGTTCTATTTTGAGGCTCACCAGCTGTTTAAGTATGATTTTGTGCTTCCATTTAGGAAGTTCTTCCATTTAGGGAAGCAAAAAAATTGCTCAAATTGACTATCTTAAAATATTTGAAAAGTCCTATGCTTTTTACTTGAACTCTGAAGGCATTCAGTCACTTCACTGAAAGATTGTGCACGTTCACGTCTGTTTTACACCCTCATTTTTCCATCGTCACTACCCATGACCCTTGGAGTTTCTACACTGCCCTTTGGGGCCATTTTCTGTTACTGCTTGTTGGTATTGTACCTTTCCTTAACTACATTAGCTTAGACTATACCTTGTTTTTAACAAGAGAAAATACAAATTTACTATGTCAAAATCTATTTTGGCACAACCACATG